TACATTGACGAAAGTCCGTTATATTACCAATGTATGTTACTTTGATGACGTACGTCAATGTAACAAAAGCGTTGGTCTAAAAACATGAATAACAGCTTTATTTAAAAATCAAATTCCAAACCGAGAGCATTTCTAAAAGATAGGCTATATTGTCTAACTTTGTGGAAATGCTTGCCAAAAAAACGAAATGATAGTCGTCATAAATTAGGTGTCATCATAAAGTAAAGTCAAAATTGTTCCTAACAACATGCTCTATCATATTTTCAAATTTTTGGTTTTATAAATTATCATTTTTTTCAAGATGTGCACTGACTTTATCTTAAGAAGGTCACAATAACGTAAATAACACTGAGGATATGTTGCATTCAACCATGACACGCTCTTCACCAGACACTGCAAAACAAACAATCTCCTCTTTGTGATGACAAGACTAAGAGGAAATACGTTTAAAATATGTCTTATCAAATATACTAAAAGAAGACAATGAAATGATACTTTCCTGAAAAAAGTAAGGAAATTAACACATGCCTTCATACTTTATAGTGTACCAGAAAATAACATGTGCACGTATAGCAATTTTTTTATAAAGTATGAAGGCATGTGTTAATTTCCTTGCTTTTTTCAGGAAAGTATCATTACATTGTCTTTTTTTAGAATATCTGGTACAGTAAAATTTTAAATGTTTGTGAGTACTTTGAATTTAAAAAATAAGCAATCGAATGACCAAATTGAAACAGTTTATGTAAAAATATATATATACTTTTGTATATTTTAGTTTGTTTTGTAGTTTAGCTATCATATCTGTGTCCTCTTATACGAATTTTGATACTTCTCTGCCATGTTATTTTCGGAAAAATTAACATGGGTGAAACTCCCTAAATTACAAAAGGCCACAGCTTTGCTGCACATTATACATTACTATCTGAAATATACAAAAGTTAGGATAAATATAAATGTTTCTATTTTTACATAAACTGTTTCAATTTGGTCATTTGATTGCTTAAATTCAAAGTACTCACTAGCAAAAAATTTTACTATAAGAGTTCAATGGGAACTCAAGGAAATTCTGATATTTCACACTTTCTATTTTCCAAATTTTCTTTCAAAGTTTCCAGACAACACAGGACCTACCATTGACCTGTTTCCCGGTTTACAAAAAGTAGACAAAGTAATGATACTTTCCTGAAAAAGGCAAGGAAATACACACATGCCTTCATACTTAATTTTGTACCAGAAAATAACATGTGCAGGTACAGCAATTTTTTACCAAAATGTAACTTTCCAGCTGAACCTTAAATGATCGATTTTGACCATATCAAAACATTTCTCATGGCTATAGTTACGATATCAGGTGAGCAATGATTTCGCAAGGAATCTTCCTTTAATTACGAGTTGAGACTAAACAAATCAATCATGTTGATGGTATTTACTCAAAATATAATTCCAAAAAATGTATACAAACTTTGGTTGGTTACCCTGTACAACTACAGTGGTAGGTGCAGGTGCCGCTGCGATCATACTAGGCGCCATCACCTGGTTTACAACGTTAGTAACCTGGGGCGCCGCTGCAGGGGCTGGTGCTGGCGCTGGGGCAGGCTGAACAGGGGCGGGCTGAAAAATATTGTAAGCTGTCATAAAATCCCTGAAAAAGTAACTATTATTTTCCTTCTAGTAGTAAAAATGTAGGGATATACTATAAGCTATAAAATGGTATTTTTGTGTTATCCTAAAATTCAAAATTGATCCTCACTGCGTGATAATGGTGGTGCTGTGGCACTTGTGGCGGCGGCTGATAATGTACCGGAGGTGGCTGATGATGAACAGGGGCAGGTGGTGGGTAGTGCGAATTTGGGACCCCGTAAGGATATGGGGTCGGGTGATCGGGAGCAGTAGGATACGCAGGTGGCATCCCCTTGCTGATGTTCATGTTTGGGTCCATATCTTGCAGTGGAGCTTCCGTTTTGTTTACAGCCTTTAGCCCTCTCTATGTCCCCATCAGCAAGTAAATTGACGATCCAGTCGACGACGTACGTAGGTGAATAGTGTTATCAGTTAATCTCTCACTTTCGTTGAAAGTAATCTTGATTTTGTTTTGTTATTGTGATTTTCTTATGACCCTGTAGAAGTCATCTCTGATTACTCCATCGTATGTAATTCGTTTAGGCTTTTCCCCTGAACGTATTTCAAACACAAAATTGATTAAACTCTGAATTTCTGTCGGTCGACAACACCACCCTCTGACATTTTAATGTTGATATATTTGAATGATTTTTGAAATAGATAATGACAGTCTGTGAAATCTTGAATGTGTAAGGACTATTGGCTATTATTTTGAGAAACATAGTCGTGGATTTTTGGCTGCATGTTCTGGGCCCAGATCGAAAGGTTACATTTAATATCTAGAGAGTGGAGATGCAATTAAGCTTTTGTCAAGGGTACTCACCCTGTACCGTATTCTAGGAAATTCTCAGGGTCATCTTGATTCAGGTTCAGAAAACTATTTTGTTCAAAGACGTATTGTATCACAGTTGGACGGTTTTGCAATGTAATCACATTTCCAATTGGTGTTCACAACACTAACTCATAAAGTGACTCAAATGCAAACGACTGCTGATTGGCCAAAAATAACCTAATTTTCAATGTTTATATTTAGTCCAAGGAGGATTGGCTCCCAGACTGCACCACCGATATTCTGTCCCATATATGGGTATGTCGTAATACAAAATTCGAATTCAAACAGCCGCCATTTTGTTCACTTCAACATTTAAATCGTGAATTTTGGTCTTATTTCCAAACGAAAAATTCCAAAACTCACAAGAAACGATCGAGATATTGGTTCGAATCTTTTGAACTGTTTATTTTGAATTTATAGTCGGTTTTAATTTCAGAAAATAACGACATTTCGACGTTTTCATTGTTGGAAAATATCGAGTTTCGATCCTGGGAGCCAATCCTCCTTGTATTTAGTCTAATTGGATAAATTCCTTATATTTATGTTATGGTCGAGATGGTGACGTAGAGTGTGGTGTCCGTAACAAGATGGTACATAATATGCCTACTGTACCGAGTGGCGCTTATCTTCGCTTTTGTTCTCAAGTAAATGGAGATATAGTCTTACGTGTATTTGTGTCTCCAACGTGGACAGGGAAAGTATTAAACTTTCCAAGAAAATATCTTAAGGATGTTCCCTGGTCAGATAGGAAAATATTCAATAGTATTTAACTTTTTCTCAAAAATGGTTTTCTGGGATTCTCACGGGCAACAAAGAATATTAAAACTTTAAAAACCATATGTTAGTGTGCTTTTTTCTGAGCAAGAGGCCTCTAAAGTGGCAATATTTGACAAAAGTGGGCGTGGCACTTTCTCATTGAAACCCATGTTAAAAATCAGGTTTTCACCCCAAAACACACTTTTGAATATTTAACTTTTTCTTAAACTCACAGAAACACTTAGTTATGCTATGTACTTCACATTTTTAAAAGAAAAATTAGGGGTTGGTGTTCATCGTTTTCAACTTCGTCCAGGGAACATCCTTAAGTACGCCTTAATTTTAGTCTATTGGTGCATGTGGGGCATCAAGATATCCAGACAATCTCAGTGATTTTTAAATAAATACCATTTTTATTGTCCCATTACACCTCCACTAATTGCTATGGCGATCCTCAGCTTGTTATGATCCGTTCGAAATCATCAATTGGGATTAAAAAGCACTTCCGAGCGAGCAATTATTGAGAATAATTCCAACATTTGCTGTATTATTCGGAGACGAATTAGGGTGCAAACAACATGTACGACGTTGAAGGGTGTATAAAATCTTAAACGCGATCACAGACTGTCATAAAAGTGAACTAGGCCTATGTATCAATTTTATCAACTTGAACAATAGTGCAACTAAGAAAGAATTTCGACCAGGGATAGAAGCTCTCAATTCGGTCGAACATGTCAGTCAAATTTCAACTATGTATACTTGGACTAGTGCTCTACATTTTCAGGACTGATGGACACCGTGGACCAGGTTATTTCGGTCAGTTCAATAGTCGTCGTGGTGGTAATTGTGGGACGCGTATTACGAAGTTACACGTGGAACATTCAGGGTGCATTCCGGCAGTAGTTTCGACATTTGCATGCCGAGGAGAATGCCATTCTCGTTCTATTCCAGAGTGGAGCAACATTGAAGAACGTATGGAAATGGTACCTAGTTGTACCTGCTGTAAACCAACTCGTCATGCAAGAAAGTTCATTGCGTTGGAATGCCCTGGGTCTGGTAAGAGAATAAAGAAACTGATTCGTGCGGCAATTGACTGCCAGTGTCGCCCATGCTCACATGGTAACCCCCTTGCTGAGACTACTTACGTTCAATGATGATAAAACGAGTATGCAGTTGAAGTAACCCGACCAGAGTATGCGTATATATGCGTACGTAATTGCGCCACGCATTGGGACAAGTAACAAGTCTTGAGCTTGTTTATTGCTATATCGGGAACGGCCATTTTGACAATTGTTGATACCCCGGCCCTTGTCGGGTCATTTAGGGTCAACTGGAATACAAGAATAATTTGAATAACGATCAATGTGTTCCAGGATATAAAGTTGCTCAAGTAATGTAGAAACGCAGAATGAATTAAGAAAAAAGAATAAATTGTGAATAAATGTGACTTATTTTAAAAAGGGGCGTGGTTTTAGTTTTTGTAATAATGTTTCTGTAGTGGTGTCCTATTTATCTTTTTTTGTTTTAAGCAGTTTATTCGATCAAATAACATAAATAAATGCAGGATGGCCAAAATAAAAATGCATTGCGTAAAGCTTGAACTTTCTTGGGACTTCGACATCCTGAATTCCTGCTAAAATATATAATATAAGATGTTATCATCTTGTTGTAAGTGAATTTCCTTAAAACGAAATATTGTACAAAGCGTTGCAAAATAGTATTTAGAGCTAAATCCATGATTAACGAAGATTAGATTAAATGGAATTCACCGAAGCAATGAAAACAAAAGTAGTTGATTTGTTATTGTAAATGTTATACGAACATTTGAAATGTTAATCGTACAAGAACAAATGGTTGCATCCAGTCTACTAAATATAAAGAATAAATGGTGAATGATACTCCAAATGGATTAACCAAAATTGGGAATTCATTTTAATTTATTTAAATATGACACATATATAACATAAATTAAATATGAATTGGTTAAATATCATATAAATATCATGTACATCAATATAAACATCAAGTCAACTGCATTGTTCAGCATCGTTTCACTGCTGAGAGCTCTCCTTGTTAACTCGTCACCGTTATGTTGCAAATGCATAATGGCCATTGCACAATGTAGAAGGTATTTACAAATTTATTCATTTCACGTCTCACTGTCTTAACATCATCCATTGTGTGAATACAAATGACACCAATGCTATTAATACATTTATAGTTCTATCAACTGCATTGTATTTTGCCCCACTGTTACTGCGTCCTCTCTTCAACTCACCACCCGTATGCGGGCTCTTTGAGAACTGCACGCGTTGTATGGTGCGGATGAGGGGATAGGTACCCTCGTTACAAAACGTCCCTTGGTAGTCGTCTAGATCTATCGACCACACCATGGCACCCCCAAGCTTATTTTTGACCAGCCACGCTGTCTGAAATAATCATTTTGCAATTATTGTAAACCTGTGCCTGTGAATATGTGATCCCATTGTAAAACATATTCGTATTTTTCAAAAAATTATGAGCGTTTGAGAAAATCTACTCCTATATATAAATCGATAGAACAGATAGGAGAACGAGTCTCAGAGACGTTAAATGGAGAATTTGAGAAACGTACTTTTTTATCTATGTAATCTGTGAAGGAATAGCGTGCATAAAGTGTGCTCATTGTAATATTCTAATGCAACTTTTCAATATCATGAAGCAAATCACAATATCAAATACAGAATCAGTTGACCTACTTTTATTGCTATACTTCGTCTGTTATCATAGCCGATCCAAAAGTCACCCTTGTGGAAGTATGGGCACATTTGTACACTGTCCCATTGGAGCGATCCTTCCCCACTTCGCTCTAATTCACAAATCTGTAGAAAACAATTGCAATTATGTTACATAAATATTGAGAGCAAATGCTACCAATATGTTTCTCCAGGATAGGTTAATTTCGCACAGATTGTTACGCGGTAAACACGATACAAATATATGTCATATTCCGCAACGAATATTGCATATTCACCTGCGGTGTATGACAGATTCACCTGCAGTATAAGGCATATTCCATAACCAGTGAGAAGGCGATACGGAAGTACGCAATTGTCAATTCGATCGAACGAGCAGGCACACGTTTATGAATTATTATAATGATTACTGAATCAACAGGTCAGTCCATTGTACAAAAAATCAACTAATACTACTGAATATCATACTCCAGTCGTACCTGTATTGTTTGATGTTGTGTTTTGTACATATGAATATGGACATATAGAAACTGAGAAACATTTTCTTCTACAATGCTCTTGTTACAAAGATTCATAAAGTTCACCATATCGATACCCATCCTTTGCTTAATTTGTGGTCCATTTTATTAATTTTTTCCAGTTTGTTGGAATTTCAAGTTTTACCTTTGCCATACAACTGCAAGAGCAAAATAATAAGACAAGTGAAATATCCCAATGTTGACTACTGAATTTCCTTCATTTGAAACATTTAAGGGCAAAAATTTTAATTTTTTCAACAAAGTCCTGTTAAAATCCCTTTAAATATATGTTTTAGCACTTTCTGGATAGGTCACAAAAATAAATCAAAAATAATAGATAGCTCAAGGACAATAGACATAGACTCCCCCAATTTAATTCAAATATAGGTTGCGCAATTCAATTTTCCATTACTTGCACAATGTGCTCTTCAAATAAATAGGAGGCAAAAATAGCAAAAAATGTGAATCCCAATGAAAGAAAACAATTTCGAAAGTGACTCCTTGCCAAAAATAGAGTTTTCTAGCGTTCAGAGCTTTGGTGAATCACGTGCATTGCATCAAGGAACTTTAACATGTTCAAAATTGTCTGATTAATATCATAAAGGGACCCTTTTGACGTTATATCCCCATCACTTACATGTATACTCGCTTCATTTGTACAACTGAATTTCTTTTGATGGTATTTAGAACAGTATTTCAGGCCTAAAATGCACAGTGCAAACCTATTATCGCCCCTCTCAAAATAGATAGCTTCTCTGTAATCTCAGTCATTTTACATAAGATAATGTTATACATCTAACATAATTCCATCTTTGCATATACCTCAAATAAAGGTAATCAAACAACGACAAATTACTGAAATACTGCAAAAAATAATCTCAAAATCTCGGTGTTCGCATTATTTTATTTATTCTTTTTGAATATAATTTGAAATAAATATGTATACTTTTCTCTATATTGTTTTAGAACATGCACCAGACACTTCTTGGAATGAAATAAAACATCTATCCGAACCACATTGGAGCAAAATGACTTTAAACACAATGTGTTTAGGTCTCTCAATATCGTAATTGTACAAAGGAAAATTCGGTTGATTTAAAAAAGTATCTTGTTTCTGTAATAAAAGTATTATCTTAATTTTTATCTATTTGGGTTTTTTATGTTTTAATCTTTTGAATACTTTTTTCATTTGTATAACTATAATATTGAGAGGTCTAAGAAGATGTTTTATATGCTATTTTGTTCCAACAAGCTTCGGAAAGATATTTTATTTCATTCTCAAGAATTGGTAAAAAGGAATAAAAAAAACAATTGCACTAAAAAACAAAAAGTCTCAACAACAACAGTTATATAAAATATTTCTAAATAATTTTCGCACTAAATTGATGTCAATCAGTGACCATTACATAAAGGATCGTGATTTTTACAGAATGTTTTCAATAATTGGTTTAAGAGAAAAACATTGTTGAATTCAGTTCACCATATCGATAACAATCCTTTGGCAAAAGTATTGGTATCGAGACTGGTTTAAGAGAAATGTGTGTTCAAAAGGTTCACCATATCGATACCCATCTTTTAATCAAATTAGGCAGAGATTAAGCAAATTTAAAAAAGTTTTCACCAAATTCACCGTTAGGTGGCTCCAAAAAAAATTGCCGAAAATATTTTAACCCCCTCCTGTCAAATCCTGGATGTGCCACTGATGTATGTTTTACACGCAAATACACACTTCAATGGAAACATTATTACGCTTAAATAAAGGAACCTACGTTCGTGGAGCTTATGTTTGCCAAATCAACAGTTGACAAAGACCAGATGCAAACCTACAAAAATCACGGATATTTTTGTATTGTTGTATTGGCAATCACGATATACACATTTCTGCTACTTGGAAGTTGCAGAAGTGTCATTCAGCAATTCCACATATTAGTACTCGGAGCGTGAACAATATTGATAATACAGCGTAATTTTACTTTTAGATTATTTTGACCAATCAAATCACAATATTCTGACATATTCCGTGAGTATCGGGTATTCACTAAAACCAATGTATCGCATATTCACTGCGGAGTATGCCATACTCACCTGCGGAATATGCCATATACCACAGATTAGTATGGCATATTCACCCGTATCACAGATGCCGCACATGAATATATGCCATATTCCGCGTAACACAGGTAGACACACAAAACCTACACTTAAATCAATCCAATAACCATAATCTGACAAAAGAAAGGCGTAGATTGCATCTACGTGTCCCCAGGCCATATGGTATTGTTACCTCAAAATATGACATAACTCCCTTTTCGCGAGTCATCCTACCAGCATAACCTGGTCCCGTGGCCTTAGCACCAATCATGGTAGCCCTGGGGTTGGCTAGTGTAAAGGAACGACCCTGCATTGCCATTCCAAGTACGAGTTTGTGTCTTGGTGCTCCAGCTTGTATATATCGGTTGATGACCCATTCCTGGAAGAGGTTTGGACATATAAATAAATGTTAATGATGATCTGTTCCAACGGAACATTTCGGGGGAGGAACCAAGATCCCTATTTAAAACCCAACCAAAGAAACATACTTAAGGCTACCATATTAAATTGATAGTTCCGAAATGGCCGGCACAACAAATCTATTGAAATCAAATATGGGCAAATTGGCTGTTAAAGCTATACTAGCAAACATTTCAAACATAGTCAAAAATTCTTACCTGACTTAGAGAATGGCTGAACTTTCGGTTCTGGCTATTCCTTGAGAAAAGTGGACTGTTGAACCCAAGGTAACTCTGCCAATGACCATGGAAGTCATATGTCATAACATTGAAGAAGTCTAAATACCTAGAAAATGGAATGGAAGGTAGTTGTTATGGATCTATATATTAAGGATCGAGGCTCTTTGCTTCCTCCTCATTTTCTCTAACATCAGCATGATCAGGAAAATATGAAAAAATAATTGGGGTCGCGGGGATGATAGTTACGATAGACTTAATGCACAATGCAACTAGATGCACTTATTACATACGATACACTTGATTCAAGATCCATACTTTGAAATCTGTGCAACGTCGTAGCTGTATGTGATTTGATTCTCGTTGACACCCACTGCTGCTGTTAGTATCAATCGAGGTCTTTTAGTCATCTTTGACTCCTTTTCAAAAGCTTCGCGAAATTCCTATAATATATAATGAATGCGACGTCAGACGTTTGAGATAAAAATATATTATGATGTTCATGGATGCCTTTGCTCCACATCATCGGGTTATGTTCATTCGCTGTTGTCTTGGATAAGTAAATTTTGCTTCGAATTCTGATCATACTCGAACTATATGAACTACAGGGTGATCCAGAAGTAACGTCAATGGTGTTGCCATTTCAATACTATTTGCCCAATCTTCGTAAAACTTGGTACATACGCTCCCCAAATATTATTGACTAAATTACATACCTAGCGAAGCATTTGTATGGAAGTCAATGGAGCTGAAGGTCGGCTATATATTAATGTATATCCAAAATATAAAGATTCTACTGTTCGATTGGTTGACTTCATGGTAACTATGGTAACCAAATGGGACGTCACATGAGGCAAATTATTTGTTTTAGTAGAAAATGGTATGAAAGATTTAATAATCATTTTTACAATCATAATAATTTGATTGCTCAACTATTGTTTACATATTACTCTGCAAGTCTGCATAACACCATTAGCATGGTATGGCACCATTTGGCAACTTGAAATCAATCAAAATCATATTGAAGGATTATTGATATTTATTTAGGTTTATCAAGACGAGAAAAGTTATTTCTTTCTTGTCACATCGGGTTGCCATAGTAGCCATGAAATGAACCGATCAAATAGTAGAAGCTTTAGAGGAACATCTGTACAAAGTTTCAAGATGATTGGTCAAGTAGTGTTAAAATGGCAACACCTTTGACGTTACTTCTGGATCGGCCTGTATGCTTCTGTTGTATTGTAAAACACAACACTAAAATGAAAGCTAAATGAGACAATCTAGTAAAAGTCTTGATGGACACTTACACTACACTTACATTTGCGGCATTTTTGTATATCTAATTAGACTCTAATTCGATTTAACCTATCTATGAATCTCTTCAATTTCCACATCCTGATACATGTGATTAAAATGATGTTTCTACATACGTTCACCCTCACCTTAATAAGTTCAGTGAACTGGGCCCGGTCGTGCGACCTTGGGAATTCCCAATCAATGTCAATTCCATTGAAGCCATACGTCCGTAATATATCAATAGCACTCAGTATAAATTTAACTCGTCTTTTCTTAGTTGCTACCATTTGTATGAACTGATTAGTCCCAGCAGTGTGGCCTCCGACTGATAACAATGTCTTCAAATTGGAATTTCTCTCCTTGATATCATTGAATTTGTTATAGTTTGGTAAGTCAACGCCATTGTTGATGTCCGTCTCGTCCCAAGGTGTAAGGGTCAAGGACGTGGGGTCTATCTTGGCAAAGGCGTATATGAGGTGCGTACATAGATCGGGCTCGATGTAATCAATATCAAATCTAGCTTCTTCAACCTCGCGGTGGATGGACCAGCTGGCGAAGTAACACACTCTCCGAAATCCCTGTCGCTGTGCTGAAATGTTATAACATAAAAGGAGAAATGGTACTATTCATAATATCAAATACATATATGTGTCTTATGCAAACAATGATTTCATTTTATGGGGAATGGATATATGATTGCATAATGCATATACGAGGGTTGATCATAAATCTATAAAGTTCTCTCTGATTTCATTATTTTCCAATATATTCTAATATTATTTTCACAGAACGAACAGCATAGCATGCCTTATTGTTCCAGCAAAAATATTAAGTATAACAGAAATATATATTTTAATAGAAATGATTGCAATAACATTACTTTAACATAACTTCTAATCAAGCATGACAATCATCCATTTAAGATCGCACAATTCACATAACCATTATAATAACTTAAAATAGTTACGAGCACATAGCATTAACATTTTGATGAGAGTACATAGTAATTAATATTTTGATGTGCTTGATAGTATTTAAACATGTATGGTTTATGTCTTTAAAGTGCTTTGATTTTTGGTTACTATGGCAACCATATCTTATTAATTTTTCTGTTATATTAAACATATTTTGCATATGAAGCTTACAAGTATTCTTTAGTTGTATGATTCGGAAGATGTTTAAAATATAATTACAATATGATAAAGACTGTCGTGTACATGTAGTTTATTGTTTGTCGACTTACCTGATATTATAGGAATCGGCAACCACACGAATATTCCAAACACCAATGTAACAAACCATTCCATGCTTTGTAGAATAGCTGAGACCATATATTATTACAGATCATACAACTTGTTGGAGTTCGTAGAATGTTTATGAAATCACATCATTATGTCACATATTGAACTTTTCAATAGTTAAGGCTGCTTTCAGTGTCATCTTATATATACATTCTTATTAGGTACGTGTACGTATCATATCCATATATTTGGCAGAGTATATCTTCTTTAGTTCCATTTTATTCTTATCGATATCATCCAATATAGGCCTTCACCACCATTTTGAGTGACTTATAAATTAGCATCGAGAAGTCAATGTACATCTTTATTACTAATTACATTTCTACATAGGCTATGTGACATATGTTTGATTTTAAATTCATAATTGAAATGCCTGCATGTACAATCATTTATATAATGTATCATATCTTGATTTCCTATTGACATCAGTGATAGGGTTTTCTAATATTGGAATACAGCATTACTATTCAAATTGGACAGTTCGTCTATCAAAAACGTAAGACATTTCTTGTGTTTAAATATTTCTCTTTTCCTGGAAGAATGTCCTTAATATTATTTTGTAATTAACCGTTTTGAGCAGGCAGAACACAAATATCTGCAGAACTAAAGAACGTTGTCTGAATAAATATACGTATTTGTTGCAACTTGTCTCTTTTGCCAGTCTTTGTTGGCCCTTTACGTATTGAGTGTATATTAAACACGTTTCATGATGCAGACATACGTTGGCCTCTGACACACATTACCTTTTAGCCTTATGAATTATAATGAAAGAGAGGCCCTTTCCATGGTTTAGTCAGTCGTAGGCATTGGCTTAGATAAAACACACACAGTGAAACTCTTTGAGTAACGAATCCTTCAGACTGACACCTGTTTCCCCATTTAATATCATTTGCAGTTTGTGTAAGTGACAGTAAGTTATTAAATAAATTATTGCCATTTTTTAGCTCACAGAAACCCCGGGACAGAACTAATATTGAACTAATAAATGGAGTGAGCATATTTTAGATCAACTTTGACTGCATGTTCAGATCACGTACTAGATGGATCTTTTCCTGCTAGTATCTCGTCTACGTAACAAAGAATAAATTATTTAAAAATAATAATTTTACCAACAAAATTTATTTCATATAAATTAACATGACAAGCTTTGTATTGTGGTGTGTACATTGCACAGTTTACATTGATACTTTTCTAAATATGTACACTCCCTCTAAATTCGACAACCAGAATTTCCTCATTGAACTAGTGTTAAGAATGTTCGCATTTCATCTATAAAACGTGTTAAGACATAATATGGCTAGTAGAGGGAATGGAAATACATCGTATTGTCCAATGATCTGTAGTCCAATGAGGGAATTTGGGTTTTCACACTCAGAGTGTCTGTCACATATGCATTATGCTTCGTGAACACTTCAAAAAGCGGAAGATGCAGCAAAACCAACAGTCGTGATATTAAAAACGTGTCTAAGACAAAAAATAAGTTGAACGATATACGTTTTATCGTATCAAGTTTTCAAGTTTTAAGATGTTTTAGCATTTTGATATCGTTTTAACATCTTTCTAAAACATTTACAAGTAAATCTGTCCAAAATTTATCTTTGAAATTGTCAAAAATCATATAAAATAAGTGATTGAGAATTTAGAAGTTTAGAACTGTTATGTGTCATTTTAGATACACGTCTCTTGGTAAATTATAATTTGAATTTTCACATTGGCTCTCATCGAAGAACACGAGCATATGATATCACAATTTACCACTACGTAGTACTTACTATAAGCTAACATCTAATTCCGTCAACTAAGACTATATATAAGTATATTCAATTTATATAATAGATACATATACGTGTAATAAACAGTGTTTTAATAATATATACATTATTTGAAGTTGGTAATATAAAAAACGTAGCATCTTTACAGCCTCAGTTCATTCATTCGCGATCGAACCCAAATTATGAACAAGTGTGCCAAAAAGCGTCGTCGATTTTCCTCATTCTCACATTTAGTCTACTGCACAGACGAAATGCCTCGAATTGAGCATATTTTCCAATAAAGGTGCTTTATACTGTACACCTCTCAACACATTCACGAAATTAAGGCTACCGCCATAGCTGGCAGTGGAAGCATTTGCACATTTAATGAGATTCTGTACGAGTGAAAGATGGCTCACGTTGTATGTGTGACTTGGGGCAAAGTTGATTTGATTACAATCCAAAACGGACAAACGGAATAAAAAGGGATAGAGCGTATAAAATGTTAGAAACAATCTTTACATAAGTTAAAATCAGATCTGTTGATCTTACAATTTTTCGAAATTTATTCTCAACTCGTCTGTATCCCCTCTCGTCCCTTCAAATATTAATCCAGAGTGCTATTTAATAAAGCTACATTTCATGATTGTTAATAGAAGCATTCAATAACATCGATAATGTGTCTACCTTTGTAACATCATAGGCTACTTTCCTACTTGTAAAATTGTAATCAAAGACCCTTCTGTCTGTAAGCGGACTGCACAAAACATAAAGATATGCACAGTTTGTTTAATATAAAACAGCAGTATAAATATAATTATATAAAATTGCCAATAATAAGTATATTGTTAGCAACAGCAACTATATCATGTGCCCTAATTGAATATAAAGATTGCGAAATATATAAGTTACATCGTGATATTTATATATATATACAATATTGTACACGTGTTTCTTACACACTCACTAGCTAGCACCATAAACAATATTATAGGCATATTTTAGAGGCATCCACCCAACTTTCATTTTGTCGCGGGTTAAATTTTTATTAAGTTGAAACATGGATTCATTTGATGATTTGGCATATCTACAGTTCACATCTGTTAGAATAAATCTATTTACTAACTAGCCGGTGTTTTTCTTGTCTTGAATGCACGACTTGTAACATTATAAGTTTCCTCTGCGAATATTTATCACCGAGGGCTACAATTGTCTTATTGTCGTTGCTAATTTTGACGCTAAACACATCAACTGCGGCGTGGTAGTTGCAGATCTCTTTTCCTGTTTTCAGCCGCCATAACCTGATAGATCCGTCCTGCGACCCAGATACGATAATCTCGTTGTCGGCAGAAATCGTCGTGCACCACACCTGGAAAAGGATATTCTGTATGAAAACATAAACTGTATGTGTTATGCCAGATATGTGTATTCTACGATGTGACAGAGTAAAATCTAAATTCCAGTGCGAAACATGCGAAAAAATATAAAAACGCACGCCAGCGTTGTTACACTATCTTACCTCATCCTGATGGCCTACAAGGGTGTTTATCTGTTTCTCACGACGAAGATCCCATACTTTGATTGTACCATCTGATGAAGCAGACGCAAGGTACCTGCCGTCAACGGAAGCACACACAGCCTTCACTTCTCTGGTATGAGCTTCACTTATTGCGGTACTTCCTCTCATTAATGTACCAGGACCACATGGCGATAGTTGTCGTAAAGGTTTTCCAGTCTTCAGACTCCACACCACAAGTTCGCCAATCTTTGTTCCAGTTACTGCTTCATGGTTGCCTATGACGGCTGTGCATTGGGGATCTGCTGCTAACGCTAATATCTTCGGTTCAATCACTTGATAATGCTCGAGGTCAAGGTCAAATACAACGAAATTTGCATTGCCGTCAAATGTATTGTTGAACCCTGCAATAGCGTAGCGATCATCACGAGATAACGCAAGATAGGAAATGGAATCAGCGAAGCCGATCGAGTCATCATATCTCATCTCCTTAAGAGGTTCATTACCCAAAAGGTCCCAGACCTTTATAACGGTGCTTTTTCCAAATTGTTCTGTGCGGCCAAAAACCATTCGCTCACCATCACTCATCAGGCACGTTGCAGAACAAAACTCGTCTGTTGGCATTTGCATAGGCAAACCAGTTTCAAAGTCCCATATCTTGGAAATAAGAAACGAAATTATACATTAAGCTTACTAGAATCCGCAACTGTGACCAGCCAAGAACATATTTTCTCCTATAAATGAATTCCAAGACTATATGAGAGCTACGTTAAAATGCAACATGACAATGGAGTCATTGTATTACCTGTAATCTTCTAGCTGGTACCTTGGAGTCAGCAATGATACCGTCTGACTCTACTTGGCCAACAAGAAGAGTGTCTTGACAACCCAGGTGGAGATCAGTGGACCCTAATTCATCATCACCTTTCATAATACGCACAAGCTCGCCATTCTAAAACAAACATTAAGGTTCATGATCTAGTTTGGGACAAAATATATACATTCCTCTCTAAGACTTACGGCTTTTGCGTCTGGATATTGGCTGTCCTATATCGTTTGAAACTTAATGTTACATATTTTGCTTGTACAACGATACATATGTATAACCCTTTGATGTCCTTGGTCATTTTGTTTAGAAACATACCATAGAAAATAATGATGGTGAAATGTTGAAAATGCTTGGGACAAAGGAAAGGTATACTCACTCGCATGTCAAATACTTGAGGAGGTCCAACACTGGATCCTGTCACAACTGTATTCCCAGATGCAGTAATTTTAAAAGTATCGACTTTAAGGCCTTCTCCCTCGGCCCACATTGGTATTGTTACCGGTATGTGGGTTACTGGGAAGCCAAGGAGTTCTGTGCGACTCATTGTTCCAACTCCACTAGCCATGGTCCCTGTATTTGCAGCATAGCTATTATTCTGTATATTTTGTGATTCATAAGATGCATTGTATGATGATGAGAGATAGTTGTTTGATTGTTGGTTTAATCTGTTATCCATAGTAGCTGCCCTTGTATCGACATTAGACAGGTTGGATGACACCAAACTGTCGGAGACTGATGGTGCATAAGACGCTCCCATTGTGTTGTAGCCTCCAGCATTATAACCACCTCCTCCAATGATATTTGTTGTTGTTGTCTCCTCAACAGTAGTGGTAGTAGTGGCCAAGCCACCTCCATATCCTGCCCCTCCAGCAACCATACCAGGACTTCCACCTCCACCAACTAACAAGGTAGATTGAGCATCACTATAGCCTGCTGCTCTACCATCCACAACACTTGAACTGGTTTCGAAACTTGAGGAGTTCAAATTAGATGTATCTGACATAAGAGCTGTTGTCTCAGTAGCATTAGCACCAGAACCACCGTCGTACATACTTATGGCAGCAGCTCTACCCGCTCCAGCCCCGGCAGCAGCCCCAGCGCCTGCACCTCCTGTTACTGCGCTGGTTGAATTCATTGAAGTGAAATACTGATTGAAGGATGTAGTCGCAGTTCCTCCTCCTCCTGATATAATAGTTCCATTGGATGCCATAGCACCGCCTTTCACTCCAACACCAGCGCCAGCCCCTGCACTTGCCCCTGCGCCTGCTCCTGCTCCAGCCCCCGAACCTGCTCCACCATTGGCCTCAGCCTTAATGAGTGAGTAACCCGCACCTGCCCCAGCAGCTTTGGGTCCAGATATGGACATTGCACCTCCTGCTCCTCCAGCTGCACCACCAGCTTTACCACACAAACACCATCCAGGTTTACATTTGTAGAAAGCCCAGATTAGTGTAGATGCAATCAATAATATACCACATATTACACCAGCAGCAACCCAAGCTCGAGGACCGATCCAGCCAGCGCCAGTTGCGCCTCCAGCTCCTGCTACAGCTGCACCAACTACAGGTCCAACTCCCGCACCAACCATTCCTCCACCACCTCCACCACTTGGATGTAGTCCAACTTCTATTACTGTTCCATCTGGTGAACTCTTCCATCCAACACCAGCTCCACCAACACCCGGTCCGACTCCACCAACTGGTCCTACTCTGAAATCAAATGGGGTAGTCATATATATAATGTATTACAAGGTACTGTACCATATAAAGATATAACGAAGGGATAATTTGAATGTGAACTAATTCAATATCCTAAATAATACTTACGGTGGAGTTGGTTTTGGAAGGTGAAAGAGATGAGCAGCTTGGCGGATATCTCCACTCATTAAAGTTTCACCTGCCACAGCCTTATCAAGAACACGGTATCCGTTATAATATACACCAGCAATAATTCCATTGAAGTAGTCGATGATGTTACCATCGGCGTCCTTGTTTCCACCAACCTTCATTAAAGATACCCTGTCAAATCTTCTTTTTGCAGTTGCTATAAATAAGTTGAATAATTAACACATATCTGACGGCATTTGATTGGCTTTATGGTGAGTCTGGGTTATAATATGATAATGTTTTAATGATTGATGTGTTTCCGCATAAACGGGTGACATATATCGACATGTGACTAAGCGGTTAAACATTGCCGTCAACAATCCGGCTACAAGGGTAAAAACAATCTGTCTTCAACAACACAATATTAGTAAGTAACCCAAAATCTTGAGTAGATGAATTGATTGTATTTTTGATATGAAATATAACCATCATAACTCTAACATATATGGAATGAGCTATTTGGAATATTCATCGTACATATAAATACTTCTACTTACAAGAATGTGTGAACACATTCGGAATATGGCTGTCAACGTGTAGGGTTGCGTTATTATTGGTCCTGACGAACCTAACCACATGGTAGTTACCATCGTCAAACCTCTTCCTCCCTTCTACCAATCTATGCACTGTTCCATCAACATTGTATTCCAGAACTATCTTTCCATTATCCTGATACATAAATAAATATTAGCAGGATGACTGTCACGCAGATCTTATATGTTTATTAGCTTTGCGGCATTTTTTAACAAAAGAAACAGTTTCATGTATTTAGAGCTCAAGAATATTTTCAGATAAACCCTAGTTAAGCTGTTTCCTCCTGTTGATTTAGCACTCGTTTTGATACGTTTAAATGTTAAAACACATATTCCTACATACATTTTCACCTGTTGAGCACTTCACATTTTCCAACATTACCGTTTACTTATTAATGAAGGATCTAGCAGGGGTCCATTAAAATTAAAGAATATTAAATCTTGATTTTTTTAAGCTTACAACTTATCTACCAATGAATTGTTCGTTTGAAAGGCAATATAATATATTTAATTTATTTGTTTAATTGGAAATGATACCCTCTGTCCGTCTATATTTTTGGTTCAATTTTAAAAAAATAATGAACACATTTATTTCACCTCCATTGTACACCTATGTTGTTCTTCAGAATTTGCCAAGTAAGAGAATACTACATTAGTATTTATTTAATGTGAAATCCATGTTTTTTAATTATCTTTCTAATTGGTGTTCCCCAGGGTTGCATTAATTGCCATGCATATTTTGATTAATTATCTTGTGATTTTTTGATTCATGGTCTAAATGGCAATAAAAGTTGAATCTATGAACATACATGAATGTACAGATCCGTCGGATGGGGGACAGGAGGGGGTGGTGTTGGGTGCGATTTGGGACCCCTTGGGACCCCCCACTGAAATTGAAATGGAAAATTTTCATTATTTTTTCTAATTGACTCAAACACTTTGGAAGTGCATAGAAATCACTGAATAACATTGTACCTTTGTACCATCTTACTGGAAAACAGTAGGATTAAATAGTTTTTGATTTTTATTGTCTCAAACACAAAAAGTGTCAAGAAATCATCAAATAGTACCCCTCTCCAAACAATTGAAAAATAACAATTCTGGATTTTATTCTATTGTAACTAAAACTTAGAGTCATCATAAATAAGGTTTAAATCCAATATATGTAATTTCGAATTTTTGAAATCATAGAATCATGTTAAGTCAATGAAGAAAAATTAAAAATAAAAGATGTGAACTTTGCAAAGCTTCAGAAAGCAGTGTTTAATAAGTTATACCACCCACTGTGAGCGTGAAGTCCATTATGATCTTATTTTTCAGTTGAAATTGTATAAAATGTTCTCGATGTCAAAGAGTTTATGAAATGTTTACTTATTTACTATCTATTAAAAAGAAATATTCAAATTCAAAGAATTATTTAAAAAACGACCCATGCGTAATTACAAATTAATGATAAACGGTAATGTTGCGTGATGCTCAACAAGTAATACTATGTTCAGTGATATTAAATCTACCAATACATTCTATTTAAAACAGTGCTGCTTTAATAGGAGGAAGTTATCAAAATTTTGTCAATTCCTATGGTGTATTTCAGAAATCGTTTAGGAAAAATGGTTTCTAACTAAAATATACAAGATGTTTCCTAATTGTATGTATTTGTTATATGCATACCAGCTTTGCGATAATATATTCCCCCTTGTTCTTGCTGCTTTCGACCCGAATGAGAGTACCAGTTGGGTACCATGTCATGAACCCAAATGCCAATTTGTCAATGTCATAATTACTTGGCGGCCTGAGATCGTGGACAATTATTCCTGGACCTTCGCCATTATCAAATCCATAACGGAATCCATTGGCCTCTATAATGCAATGATAAAGTATGTCATTGGAAAAATCGTGAACAACGTCATAAATCAAGTAACATAAAATAGCTATTTATATTCTAATACATATCAAAATATACTTCGCTTTCACAACTATTCAATTTGGGTATATAAACAAATATTCAACTTTACCTGTTTTACAAGTCTTGCCAACATAAGATGTCATGTTGCAGTCACAGTAGTAGGAGTCAAAGCCAGTGCTGACACAAATGCCACCATTCTGGCACAACTCAGGGTGGCACACAGTGAGTGCATCGGTACATCCCTTCTGTACATCATTTCGTTTCACAAGCGAATCCAGCATCAGGTTGGGTAGTCTTCCATTTAGATCAACAGACGACATACAGCCCATATAGCCTCGTTTTGATGCTTTAGAAGACAACAGACTAGGAAGATCTTTAAATGTGTCTTCAGGTACACCCCCAAGATATAATCTACCTCCCAGGTCAAATCTTGGTTGACCAAAAATTTGGGTTATTTGATCATCCACTTTAAGATAATGTACATTTCCCGATCCTTGGCTAGACAATTTGACAAAATGCCAGTTGTTATCATCCAGGTTTCTAATATTTGCTGTATACAACGATGGTGTGTTTTCAGTGTTGAATGCATAATGTAATAGACCATTTACTAGCTCCAATGCAATGAAATCGGTGTTGCCATTTCTACCTCCATTGTAGAGTAGGAGACCATTCTTGACCTTAGTCTTAAAAGCAAATGATATTCCCATGTTGCTTGGGTCACCAAGGTCCAACGAGGGTAGAGCAGCAAACGCTGGGGGTCCTAAGAAGGTAACTGGATGGAACACATCTGAAATGGAATAAGGAACAAATATTTTATTCTGTTCTGTCAAGATCTTCACTGATTTTTGGTTGACTTTACTTGTATTACCATGAATTGTGTGATTTATTCTCTAGAAATATTCGAAAATCTTTGCCAGCAGGGGTATAAAAGTAAACTGGACGAACTCAGCCTGTGGATTATGGTTTCTTATTTCCTAGTAGCATATAGGATACACATAGATCAGAGATTCGGAATATAGAATTCATAATATATAAACAAGATGTAAACGTCATCACAATGTAAACTGTACACCCGACCCAGCTAAAATACAATAACTCGATCCTTGAATTTCTTTTGATCATTACTTTTTAAACGTGTTTACTCAAACAATTTTATAATTTTTACAAAATACTTTCCCATTTCATACATATGTCTAAATGATTCCTAATTCCTGCTACATTTAGTGCAATGTGTGCTTTTCTACATTCGGAAATATTTCAAAACTTGTTTTATAACACAAGATCGCTGTTACCTCCACATCCAGAAACAACGGGTCCAAATATCTGTTTAGCATCTGGAATTGGATCTGGTATTTGTCCACCCAAGTCTATTGAGGCCAAACATCCCATGAATCCACTATCAGATTGCACGTTAGATGGTAAATTACTGTACGAATCCTCAGGCACACCTCCGAGGTACATATCACTCTGGATATCAAACAAATTGCTACCCGCTCTACAGTTCACCTGAGTAGGGGAGTTATCGATGAGGAACACATAGTTAGTTTGTGATGGACGATTAATAACCATAAAATGCCATTTGTTATCGTCCAATTTTCTGCCCGTATTTGCTGGAACTGTAATTGGGGCATATCCATTGTGAAAGGAGTAGTACACATAGCCACCCTTCATTTCAACTGCCATGAAACTTGAACTACCCGACTGCCTTGAACGACGTCCGTCCTCTGATGACTGACGCCTGCTTCTGTTGGTTCCAGAAGGTGCGGGACCGTTGTATATCATTAAACCATCGGGCTCCATTGTCTTGAAAGCTATTGCCACATTACCAGGTTGTGGCTGACTGAATTCCTGCGTTTCCAATGAGAGATATGCTCCTTGCTCCTTGAAGGAGACGGGTCTGAATAAATCTGAAATAATGTTTCAAAACAAAATATGATGATTTTGAAAATATAAGACAATGTGAATCAGACTCTGAATGAGGAATTGAACACTACCAAGTCTTAAAAGGTACACACAAGGTATTGCTGATTGCTCTCGGAAGTCTGGAACAAGTACTTACCATTGCACCCGTCCGTGATATCAGCCGATTTGAATGTTGCTTCTCTTATAAGATCTGGCTTTCTACCATTGACATCAACAGAACCGAGACACCCTTTGAATCCCTGGACAGAAGTGACACTCCTTGATAGATCATCATACATAGCCAACGGGACACCTCCAAGATAAACGACCTTGTCTAAATTGAAACCATTTCCTCCACGTTTGCCTTGGACTCGCGACGATCGACCATCAAGTGTTACCAGGTGTTCATTTCTATTTGGTCTAGAGATGCTAACAAAGTGCCACTCGTTGTCATCCAGGGTTTGTGCAGTGGCTATTGTCTTTGAAATAGCACCGTTTCCCTCATCAAAGTGGTATTCCAAGAAGCCATTCACAAGCTCGACTGCCACGAAGTCAGCTCCGGGTCCCCCATTGTACATTATTAGGCCGTCTGGTTCCATTGTTTTGAACATGAATGAGACTTCAGCCCTTGGTTGGCGATTAAAGTCAAAGCCATCAAGGGTAAGATGCGATTCTTGTGAGGGAAAAGTGATTGCTCTTACTACTGATGGAGCTTCGGTTGATGTGGGATCAGTTGGACCTGTGTCCGTTGGTAAAACAACTACAACTCCTGCAATACAAACAGGTATATCATTAACAATATCTTTCACAAAAAAGTACTAAACAAATAATAGACAAAAAAGTAATAAACAAATAGCTTACATACAGGGTGTCCAAAAAAAACAGGACCGTAAGAAAGTTGAATTACTCGGTCAATTTTGCATATTTTGCCTTAAAATTTTAGAATTATTTAGTTCATTCATTGTGAATTTTGTTCTGAAGGTTTGATGATAATCTGTTTATTGTGTCAAAAACTGCAGTACTTTACAAAACATGCTTAAAGTGGGCACTTCTCTCTATGCACAAACAAATCCTGCGAACAAAGTTGTTAATGACCCTGACCTATACACATTAATGTGGATAGTAAATATTGGGGTAGTTATTGCCCTCTTAAGATTGTTAGGGGCCTGTCAGTATACACATTGGCTTTGAGAAATCCTCAAAGATGAAAATTTGGGGGATTTAGATCTGGCTAATGAGCTGCCCATATGGTTTGCGTTCTGCAACTGATGAGCTGACCCCCAAAGCATTGCCTAAACCATTTCAGCATATCATTTGCAGTGTTGGGGTGGTAATGGCTTGTTGAAACCACTGCTTAATTATCTCCTTGCAAGGGATGCTGTAGCACTTCATCAGGAGGATGTAAGGCCCAGTAGCAATTGTTCTTGGAACAAACTTGTCCATTCAGAAAGACATGTGTGTAGGAGGATCATCAACAACTTTGTTCGCGGGAGTGAATTGTGCATAGAGAGGAGAGGTGCACATTTGGGGCATGTTTTGTAAGGAGCTATAGTTTTTGACTCAATAGGTAGATTATTATCAAAATTTCAAGGCAAAATATGTAAAATTGACTGAGTTATTCAACATTAAACATACAAAAAGCTCGACAAATGTTATAAACAAACATTATACTCACTTCTGCAACCATTTTCAACGCTCCCTTGTTTCCTAATGGCGTCATTAATAATGTCTGGCCGTCGTCCATTGAAATCAACTGATGCAATGCATCCTGTTATTCCACTTGAAGATTGAACGCTACTGGAAAGACCACTTATAACACGAGAAGATCCTCCACCAATGAAGAGATTCCCATTCAGTCGTATAGGGTTTCTGTTTTTGGCACTAACGTAACCTGAATTATCATCTACTATTAAGATATGCTGTAATTCATTAGGTCTGTATATTCTAACATGGTGCCATTCATTATCATTGATAGGTGCAGGTGTATTCGCTCTCACAGAGACAGGTCCATCTCCGTTGTCAAATCGATAAACTACATGGCCGTCTACAAGTTCAACAACAAAGAAATTGTCTCCGACGCCACCGTTATACAGTATTACTCCATCTCTATCGTCAGTTTTGATGGAGAATGAGATATCCGTTTCAGCAGATCTCGTCATATCCAACCCTGGGACCGTAACATACGAATCTGCAGTTCCAAATGTGACCGGACGGATGATCTCTGGCTGTAGAGGATCTATAAAATGATATATTATAGTTAAACAGGAAAACAAGTTCATCTCATCCAACGAATCAGTGAAATCAACAACAACAACAAAAACATTCAAGCAGAATACAAACACTATATTTTGGTATGGACACTTGATTGTTGAATGTTGATAAATGATAGTGAAAATAGTAATATGCATTATTTACCCCCGCATCTATCTTCAATTCGTCCACTCTTTGTGATGGCATCTGTTCGCAGATTTCTCGGCTGATTATTCAAGAAGGTGCTTGCTACGCAACCCTTGTAGCCCTCTCGAGATATAATCTCTCTGTTCAGACTGTTGTACATGTTGGACGATAGCCCACCTATGAAGATTGTATCAGATGTAGTAAGGTCTATGGGCTCATTACTCTGACGTATCGTTCCTTTGTTGTTTGTTTCGTCCACTTGAAGGTTATGTGTTCTTGCATTCGGCCTTGTTACTCTTACATAATGCCACCGGTTGTCATCAAGCCTGTATACGGGTTTCCCCTCGATAGAAATAGGGCCATATCCATTATTAACTCTATAGAATAGTTTACCATCTACTAATTCTATCACAACAAAATCAGTTCCAGTTTGACTGCCCTGGTAGAAGAGTATTCCATCTGGCTCCCGCGTTCGGAAATTGAATGCAATGTCAGTATCCTCGGGTCTTGTGAGGTCTATACCTCGGAGGGTCACATGAGCCGGTTTGGTGTCAAAGGTCACTGGGTTTGTGATGATGACTGGTTTGGGTTCAGAGGTTGGTGCTATTGTAGGTTGTGTTCCCGGGTCTACATTGATATGGTGATTAACATAAATGTTCTGCATACCACCATACCAGTTTGTACTTAATCGATCTTTTGGAAATGAAGCCACATAAATTGTGTCAATATCGAGACAGAAATCTTGGCCATCCAGGTATCCTAAAAGTAAAGTTATATCCTTTCAGTTTCCTCACCAATTAATTTGGTTATTACTGCTAGTATTTCACGTCCAATTCAATTAAAGATATTGATAATAATATTCCGTTTAGATTACTGTTTCTATACCTGATTTGAGGTACCGTCTAGAGTCTACCCAAGCCTCCATGTAGTTCACGCGTCGTCGAATACCTAAGGTATGCCAGTTATTGTCATTCCAAGCCCTTCTCCCGAGAGTCCACTCCTTTCAAATATAAAAATTGACTAATTAAATTGGTGAATAGTTAAACAACCAAAATAACTGTTCAGATAGCAATAATGGTACAGGTACATGAACAATTCAGGTAGTTGCGAATATTTAGAGAAGTTTAAGTATGATGTCAACGATATATCATTTGCAACTTCCTCATGTTTTGATTCTCTTTGATTTACTATGTCAACAAAGTCCTGAATATTAAAGTTCACGTCATACTCACCAATGGTCTTGTGCCAAGATTGGTAGAAACAACTATACTACCATCAACAAGAGCTGCTTTGATATAAGCTGGCGAGGCATCTCCTTCTGTTATAAAGAGACTTCCATCGGGCCTGGAGGTCTTAAACCGAAGTGTAATGTCATTAACGTCCACGCATCGTGAGTCAGGGAATGGATATCTTATGTAGTTGACCCCATCGAAGTTATTTATTTTTCCAACTAAAATTACAAACGAACCGGCTATTTAGTCATACATGAATTTTTACTATACATAAATCTTATATTTACAAATACAAGTATATCGTAACGTTTTTGGATAAGTTATATGAATAGCTTATGCAATAAGGTACGTATCTTCATTTAAACAGGAACTTCGAGACAGTCCAAGATTTGATGGCTAAATTCGAAATGTATAGCAGATACCAACTTACAGTTTTGACAAAGTGGCCCATAGAATTGTGTTCCATAGCAGTCACATTCATATTGATTCCATCTATTTATACATCTTCCATTCGCACATGGTGATCTTTCACAAGGGTTAGGCATGGTTCTACAGCTAGTCGTTATGTGCACCATACCTTGATCTCTAGCATACGATCCTAGATCAACTTCAGTTACCTGGTTATTTATTCTCAAGTCATCAATACAACCTACAAATCCATCTTTTGACCATAATTGCCACGGGCGTTTGATTCGATCTTGTATACCTCCCAGATAGAATTGTGTCCCGAGATGAAGGTCGACTTTAGATCCCTGAATGTTAACACGCTTTCTGTCTCTATCTAGTGTGAGGTCAACAACCCTTTCATCGCGGCTTACGTGGAATGTGTGCCAACGACCATCATCAACTTGTATGTCAGATACCAACGTCCTGTTAGCGCCATCGCCCAAGTCAATGAGGAAGTATAACTTCCCATCGTAAAGTTCGGCAGCTACAAAGTCAGAAACCCCTGGACTTCCGCCATTAAAGAACAGTACACCTTGTGGATCAGTTGTACGGAATTTGAACGATATATCACCCTTTTTGAGTGCATCCCATCTATTCAAACGGATAAAATCCTGATTTCTCAGGATAGTGACTGGAGGATTTTCAGGGGCTGGGGTAGGGGTAGTGGTAGTTGTTGGAGCAGGTGTGGTTGTGATATAGCCTTCATCTATTTGCCCGTATCTTGTGACATATGATTTTGGATTTGGATCATTCACAATGTCGGGAAGGCTGATCCTATTGTTATTCATATCATCTCCAGTTATAACAATCTAAAATGAATGTTTGCCAATATAAGCATTCGTTATTTAGGCTGTCGTTATTTTAGAATGTCGAGGGAGTGGCAAGAACCAAATTACAATTGCAATCATAAACCTGGCATTGCATTTGAGAGTGTAAGTGTAACAATTAAAATCGCATTCAAAGTTAAACCAAGGCCGAATTCAGGTTCTATATCTCATTGGCACATCCGAAACGGGTTACTTTGGTAAAGTTTTATGAACCCAAAATTGATCGACTAAAGGAATAGTGGTTACAAACAGTTGTTACCTCCTTAATGTCCCCGACAAAATTTCGATCAATAGTATTCCTTGTGATTGTACGAGGATTTGGACTCCCAGCAAAGTAAATATTCCCGTCATTGTTGATAAAGTTAAAATCAACGCCTAGATTTCTGGTGAAATGTTTCCGATCATCTACGTACATCGTTATCTAGAATATCAGAAATGACCATCAGTTTTGAAAAGACTCATTGGTGAATTCGTCTATAAAAGGACTAGATATAACGTTACATATAAATTCATTCAGATACAAGTAGAACTGCACTGTGAATCATAAAGAAATCATTGATTTCGTGGTAATAATGTCGACTATATGCTTTATTGCAGATACCTGCGTTCCATCTCTCTCTATGACGACATTATGCCAGTCATTGTCAGCATATGTTCCCCCTTCAAGGGTTGATCTGAATGTACCTCTATTGTTATTATAGTCAAACTGAGTATTCAAGATCAGCTTTCCATCCTGCAAACACATATCAATTAAATGGAAAAATATAAGATGTTACAAATAGTTGTTTCATTTAAGGAGCTTTTAAGCCAAGGTACCGTCAATGATCCGTGAGGTGGTGCCTTTAAGGTAATCTGAAAACCATTCTATTCAAATCTTTTTATATGAATTAATTTTTACACAAGATTATCTGTTATGAATACATTTAAGGATTAACCTTTAGATTTAGATGCATGTTATCCTCATCATTTCCTGTGTACCATATGAGACCATCAGGAGTAGTTGTTCTAAACTTTAACTCGAACCTTTCTTTAACATTATCAGGCTTAAGTGGTAGTCTTGTAGTATCTATATCGACCCAAACTCTGTCACGAAACACATAGTATTTATTGTCGTTTGGCCATCTGGGAGGCCAGTTCGGTGGAACTACGATCACTGCATCTGTCACTCTTGTTGGAAGAGTGGATGATGTCGTCGGTGATATTGTGGTAAGTTCTGAAATAAATATTTCTAATTGTTATTGAAAGTTTGTTTCAAAAACAATAAACATGTTTGAGGTACATTTGTATATTGTTAATGCCATATTATATTGAAGTGTTGTTTTTATGCAGTTTTACCCTTGTTTGTATGATAGTTACATGTATATACAGAAAAATATGATAAGAGTTGTAATTTTTGTTGGCAGACATAATGAGCATTGTAGATATTGTCATTGAAATATAGTAAAGCAATGCATATTGCAATTGAAAACCATAATAAGCAATGGTTGGTGTCGTTGAAAGACAACAAATACAGTAGTACGGAAAGCAAAATACATATCCTGAATAATTTTCATGCCACTTATGTTATTGCATTCAGAATAAACATAAAATGTGGTTGGGCACAACAACAAACTGTTAAGTGCAAGAAAGAAAACATACACAGAGCATGCAGCAATTTATTGTCAATACAATACATTGACCTCTTGGATCTCTTAATGAGATCGACCGTTATATGGGGTAACATTGGGGTATTTATGATACTATGGCAACATTTCCTAAATTAGTAAAACCTAATGCACTTTGCAATCTATACCCGATACACAATAGAAAATTCATCATTACGAAAATTCTGTTCTGCACAATTAAAATATGATAACAACTTATACACTATCACATTTTATCATCGTTTTCTTACCTGCTTTGGCATACAAATTTAAAAATCTGTATGTCTTTTGTGAAAAATATTTTAACTTTTGTCTGATCTATTTAACTATATAGATGATGCTGTTAGGATGAGTAATGATTGGTTAGTGGGTCACACCTGCTGAATTATTATATGGTTTGGTAATCAGTGTATCATATATATTACATCCTATATATTATGTTTTATTAACACCACAACAAACTTTATCTCACGATACTCAAAATCGCAGCAAAATCCGAGTTAAATCACTATCTAACTATATGATCATGCTATAGACTACTATAGGTTGAAACTTTTAAAAGAAACAAGTGTATTAGGATTAGGTTGCCCCTGGCTTTTCAATTTACTCATTTAATAGATTACGCTGTATACGTATTACTTTTCATTTGCGTGTTTCAGTTTTTAGTCCATTTGGCAGGACGTCATCATCGTTGTCAAGGAAACAAAAAAATAAAAAACTGATAAACAAACCATAAATATTCCAAATACATGTGGCCAAATGTTTCAAAACATTTAATGATGTGATGCAATCAATGGTCAACGCTCACTCTTGTTTGAAGTACATACCAAATATATGCTTTTTCGTGCCCGTCTTGGTTGTGCCTGGGCGTGTTTCTATTGGCCCGGACATGTTCATTTTGTTTCATGGACATTAATCTAAACGTTTAATCAAGTCTTTAAATAATCTCCTCTGCGATAGAGCTGTGCATTTCGAATGTTATGGTAATGCATTTCAATGTTGATAAAACAAAGCAAAACAGTTTAGCAGCATTGGTACAAAATAATTGTATGTTGAAATGCGTTTTAAAAAATGTTAAAAATGAATCCTAGAATTCCTTACCACAGCGTCCACTTCATCCTAGATCCTGAGTGGTGACTTATTACCAATCGGATTACATGTAGAGTACTATAGATATAGTTATTATTATGTAGATCAACACAACAACAACATTTCTTGTTCAGAACTAAGATTAACAATGTTATACCTGAGAAAGGAATCGTAAATATCTACAAATAAAAGATACTTTACATGTTATTTCCTCCACCTATTACCTCCACCTTACATAGTTTGAATTCCTATTAAAAGTCTAGGTAAAGCGGTTACTAAAAGTGGACTAAACTAAAATATGAACAAAGCCCAAAGCCTTTGTCAGTAAAGGAATAGAAAGTTAATAACTGAGAACAATAATGAATGTTGTTGAACTTGGGTGACAGTTAGAATGGGTGATTCTATACGGTAGAACAGAGGTAGGAAAGATGAGGAGGTCGACAACTAACAACATTTGTACATATAACATATGACCATGCTCGGAGAAGAGCATGTCTAAACTAGAGTGAGGGTTGTCCGATGTTTGCATTTGTTGAAAGTATCTATCAAATTGCCTGTCCATGATGACGTCACTTACCATCGTAAATCAAGCCAAGGGCTATCAAGATATCCCTTTTAGCATTCCAGAATTGCACATCATCTATTACTCCATGCAGATACTTCTCACCTTCCCTGCCCTGAGATGATCGACCAATGTAAAATGGTGTGGTTCGATCTACACGTGTTTCACGTGGAGTACTCGTAGTGGCCTCGTCCACTTGTATGCCATCTATGAACATCTGGGCGCCATCTTGCTTGTTCCATGTAAACTGTACCTGGCTCCATTTATTTACGTCAATTTCTTTGGAAATGCTCCAAACCTTATTTGGTGTTTGGAAACGACCGTGGAGTTTTCCTCCTTGGAAGTATACATTTATAGCATCACTTGAAAAAACATACATATTATTAGTCAACTGAAATGGTTTAATTCTAAAATTCATTGTGAATCCCCTTATACATCTTTGTAAATCTCCATGACATGTCAGATTTTGGCCTAAATTGACGTAATCATCTACTCCATCGAATTTGATCGCTCCGTCAAAAACCCCCTCTATGACTGTAGGTGTACCATGCACGTATACAACTCTTCTTCCAGTGTCCGTCAGCTGGTCGCCCTGTATTCCATCCATGTTGAACACTTCATGGTCCACAACACCTGTAAGTATACATGGAACATAATGATGAGTCCATTGAAATATATGATTAGGTTGAATAGATCAATTCATGAAAATTATAAATTGTATGATAAATTGCAGTAAATTAAGATTAATCAAAGTCCCTCCCATGTGTTGGTTCGATTCCCTCTCCCACATCCTTTCGTTATTTCTCATGTTAAGTTATTCCTTCTGAACACCTGCTAATCAAAACAACTTATTCAGGGTCCAGTGAAGTACAGATAAGATTAGATTCATTCTGCCAAAATTGCGCTAAATTACGTAATTTACCTCTATCCAGCATCCCAAATGAAGTTAAGACGTCTTTATTAGCATGCCATATTTCCAGTTCATCTGTCATTCCATTGAAATAGCGCCCCCTTGTCATATCTGGGCTCCTTCCAATATACGTCGTATAGTCGTACTTTTGCCGGGAGGATGTCGAAGTGAAGGTATTGCTTCTAGCAACCTCTGCTTCGTTCACGTACATGACTAATCCTTTCTCTGGGTGCCAAGAGAGGTCAACCAGACTCCATTCATCTGGTCTTATTCTGTCAGTTGAAACTGTCCATGTTTTCTGTGGAGTCCAAAATTTCACATGTGTTTTGCCATTCATGTAATACATGGAGTATGATCCCCCATTAAGGAATACCATACCATCTTCAAGTGTCCTAGGTTTAGTCAAGAATGTAATCATTAAGCCATGTCTGCACAAGTCTAGATTCCCAGAGCAGGAGGATCTGAGATTACCTAAATCTGCATATTGGTTAGCCCCGTTAAGGTCCAATGCATTTCCTGTGTGTCCCTTTCTAAGCATTGCCCCGTTGTGGAGCTGTATAAACAGATGGGGGTTTAAAACTTGTCTTCCTCGCCTCTTTTCGAAAGAGACCATGGAATGGCTTATAGGTGCTGCAAAGGAAAAGTTTAAACAAGACACGGAAGTCATGTATGTGTAAGCAAGACAGGCCCTCACCTTTCAACCACTTAACTGAGTTAGTGCATATCATCTAGGAACCCCTACTAAGATGCATTCCACTTAAAACCACCTAAAGTATATAGGAAATAATCTTGCACCACGACATATAAATTATGCCGGATAGTGATGCAAATCTATATCAGAAACAAGTCCAAGTTGCCCAAGTTCTCTACCAAAGCATAGTCAAATATAAACATCAACTAAATGTAAGATGTGTATATTTGATTTGAAGCATTCCCAATCATTTTCAAGATTAAGTATCTTTTTCTTATCATTTATAATCAATAAATTAAATCAAGTCATTTGATCTACAATGATTAGTCCATTCCAATGAGTTTGTGTTTCATTGACATTAATTAATCACTCAAGTCTAATTAATCACCCAAATAATAATCACACGACCAGTTGTACAATGTCAATCAAAACAATCAGACATAGGTTACTACTGATGAGCTCAATTAATAGTGATATAAAGCCATTCTAGCATTGCTGCAGCTAACCACACCAAACGCAATGCCTTATAAATCATTTTCGGGAAGTGCATCTTCCTTGTCACTGGACAGGGTCATAGTTTGGTGCTTAGAGACTATCATAGTTAAATCACATGCATACTTACGTCTAACAATAAACCCATGAGCTATAAGATAATCTCTTTCAGCACAGAATATTTCAACTTCATCGATGATAATGTCAGCATATTTAAATCTCTCATCGACGTCACCGGTATTGGCCCGCCCAATGTATGCCCTGTTGTTGAAAAAACGACCAGCTGTATCCCTTACATCCCGTCCCCTATCACTGTCAACAAGAGTGGAATCCACGTACATCTTCAAACCTTTCTTGTCGTGCCAGGAGACCTCGATGTAATACCAATTGTTAGTATCTAATCTTGTAGACACATCCCATTGCTTTCCAGGCTGGTTAACAGTTGATTTAAGATCACCATCTTTAGTGAAAATCTTCATCCCATTATGGCCAGTAGAGAACACATATGCGTTATCCTGCATACTATGAAAGTTAAGCCACATAACCACTGACATTCCGTGCCTGCTGTTCTCCAGGTTCCCCAAGCATGTTTCTGGATGTTCCCCTACGTCCACTGATTGTCCATAGCCGTTTAATCGTAGGGCATTGTCCATTTTCCCTGGTACGGTAAATGGGGTTCCAGACAAAGGGAGGTTGAGGGATGGGTGAACAAGTCGTTGCTGTCTAATTTCATCCATAGAGAAGTAGTACCTAATAGGTTTCTCTACAATAAACGATGATTACAACAACATTAACATGAACAACGGATTTACAATAACAATTGAGACAAAAGTACGTCATTTTTTGTGTAACATCGAATAACGAAATTATAAAAAAGAGCATTATATACCACCAAGACTATTTAAAGTAAATCATACCCCGTGTTATGTATCCATGAGCAATCAAATATTCTCTGTCAGCATACCAGAATTCTGTATCATCTATGGTAGCATTTGCAGTTGGGTATATATTGATGTCTTTATTGCTTCTACCAAAGTAGATTTGATCGAGGTCTGGCCTGTAATTAAAGGTACCACCGTTGTCATGTAACTGATAACCCGTTGTAGATTCTATCAGTTCATTATCTTTGTAAAGTTTTAAGCCTCTAGTAGGATGCCAGGAATATTCCAAGAACTGCCATTGGTCTTCTTTGACTTTGTCTGTACAAAGGACCCATTTTCTTGTTGAGGTAGTAAAGGTTCCACATACTTTATTGTCTTTATATTCTATGGTTAAGCCATTTCGTCCGGTGCTAAAGTATTGTTCATCATCCTGAAATTCTCCGGGTTTTATCCATGTTGCAAATAGAACTCCATATGGGCAAAGATCAAGATTACCAAAACATGAATTTGGATGATCACCCAGACTTGCATATTGGATTGCTTCGCTATCAAACTCAAGTGCATTACTAATATGACCTGGGATAATCCTTGGCTCTCCGATGAGATTGATCATGTATTTTGAGTGCATTAATTGGTTTCCATTTCGCTTTTCCATGTCAAAGTAATGCTTTGTGGGCTCTCCTCGTAACATGTGATCGAATCCACTCAGTCGCTGTATGTCTCCATAACACATTCTAAGGTTATCCATAATCATAATAGCATATCTCTCCCTGCGCATAGCACCATTTGCTCGCCCAATGTACATATTCGAATCTGAAGAACTGATATCAACTATATTAAAATCACCAGAGCTAGCCACTTCTTCAAAGTCGACTCTTATAGAAAGTCCAAAATTGTTTTCCCATGATACTTCAAGATAGTACCATTTGTTTGATTCTATTCCATCCCAGGATGTGCGCCAACTTTTGATACCACTTGTAGCTTCAGCGTATAGATTTCCATTGTCGTAATATATCTTAAATCCCTTACTACCCGAATCCATGATGTACATTTTATCCACTAAATCTGGGAATTGCACCCATGCAGCTATTGTCAGTCCATACACACACTGCTCCAAATCTCCGAGACAAGTATCTTTGACATCGCCCATATCTATATAATCATTCCTCCCGTCGAACTTTATGCCACCATCCATCTGCGCTGGTACAACTTTAGGCCTTCCATTGGCAGCATAACCTGCAGTTGTAGGTGTTCTGTCAACTCTATTCCTGTCGATTGTATCCATTGGCAAATTGTAGCAGAAGAAGGGACCTAGAATATAAACGATAACTTCAATATAGTGATCAGTGGGTTGAATTGCATGTATATTACTCACAACTTGTTTTGTCTGACAGTGCTAGCGCTGCTAAATATAATGTCGAAATGGCATGTAAAGAAACAATATATTGCTGGTTAACCCACTCACCGATTTCTCTGATTTCCCTATCAGTTTTCTGTTTTGACCAAAAGTTGAATTCGTCCACATCAATAGTTCCAAGATCGTAACTGGTATGGCTGTCATCGTTTGGCCTTCCGATGAAGAATTCTTTATTTTTCTGCAAATTGATTGCTCCAGGTTCAAGTACCTCAGGAGAATTATCTTCAGCAACCTTTTTACCATCTACATACACTTTCAATCCATCCCTATCACTCCACGTAGCAGCCAGGTGATACCAATGGCCATGCAAAATGTTGTCTGCTCTTGCGCGCCATTCTGTGCCATCCGGCTTCCGGAAACGATACTCAATGTAGCCATTACCATATAAAAGGGCAATACCATGCGAGGTTGGAGTATGGCCTCCATTGGACATGTAAACCCCTTCTTTGTATCCGGGATCTTTAAACTTCATCCACATTGAAACAGTGTAGCCTGGAAGATTTTATGTACAGTTGAGAAAGCACAAATACACTACCGGAGTTTCTCGTGAAAAGCCCAAAGGCGTTTTCCCTCTTTCTAAAGGCCCATGGGCGTTGTTTTCGAGGACTTCTGAATAAATGTCTAGTGGAAGAAACATTCGAGAAAGTGAAATGAAGTAGCAAATAAATGGCAAAAGTTCGGTTATGGGTCAGCGTTCATGATATCATCAGACTATTCAAGAGTATGCAGGCCCATTGTGGCTTCTAAAAAACGTCCCGTGCATGAGTGGGCGATGCATTCGAGAAAAGGGTAAATTGAAATGAAGTAGCAAATATTTCATGTTTTTACTTGAGTATGAAGTCCGTGTGTCAACATTACAATCGATAATATTCATAGAAGTAAACGCCCACTGGCTTGGAAAAGCAATTTTTCCCTCTAAAACGGGATGCCCATGAGAAATGAACGCCTAGTTGGCCTATTCGCGAGAAACACCAGTAAAAGCATCCGCTTTCACCAAAAACTGCTTTTAATCAATAAGTTATGAAATACCGAAGGTAGAGCAATATTAATTCATTATTTTTCCAACCATTCACAAGTGTCGAGAAAGTTTGAATTTAAGTTTTACTAATTATTAGCCTTCTGGACTTTAGGACCTTACATATACATGTATATGTCGACCAACATATTCCCATACTTGTACTTACCTTCTGGACATTTAGATAAGTCACCAAAACATTCATAGCGGTGTCCAGGACCAGCCACACGTACAAACTGGTACTTCTTGCCTTCAAGACTTATCGCTTGGTGCTTTATACCAGGCGTAATTTGTTTCGGGGCACCTCTAACTTGAGCGTCAAGTCCAGATGGGTTGATAACTGTGTCCATAAAGATGATATCCATGGGGAGACTGTAGTGGGTCAGTTCTGAAAAACATATGGATAATGAAATAAATAAATGATAATAATATTAAGTATTTTGCAAGATATTGTTGTTGTCTTGAGTCGAACCCCTGTGTTGCCTCTCCCATTCTCTCTAACAAATGTTGTATCTGGGAGGTGTAAGTTTTGGAAAAGCTCTCATTTATTATATGTACTGTTAGAGTGAATGAGGTCAATAGTGAATCGTTTAGAATCCATGTCAGGTGAGTTTAACCTGTAAATGAAAATGTTAATTATTCAGTTCATCGGAAACAGACAACTTTAAATAGTACATAATCCATGTGTGGTCTTTCAAAGAGTGAGAAAGGTTCGGTTGGAGAAAATATAAACCCCCATTAGTTTGCTGCATTACCCATCTCAGTACATTTGAATGCAAAAAGAAAAGTTTGCTACATTAAGAAGACATAAAATGTAGCATAAAAAAGAATTATTATATGAAGATGAATATTGTAGTATATGTAAATGTAAAAAGATGTCAGGAGCGGTAGTATTCTTTATCGGGTTTAGCTGTGTGGAGTGAACGTTATTTCCAGTGTTAACAATGTTAAGTCGCGTTGATGATGTTAACGGTGTAGAAGATACATTGTGATATATTTAGGTATACATTCCTGTGTTGATTAAGGGAAAACAATTAGGTTTGTTGATTGGAATGGACCGATTACTGGTTCAGCTAGTTCCTCTTAGAGGTGATTCATCCATAAAAATGATGTAATCATGTTATGTGAATCTTGGCCATGTATGTATAGATAACATTTGACCGAATGACTTTTATAGATAGGTATGGTATGCAGTTTTTAAAGAATATCACGGTGACCCATCGCATTTTACTTAAATCTTGTTACACCATTGGCACTGAGAATTGAAACCATGACATTAAAAGGATGAGTTAAACAAAACAAAACATAGATGTTTTCACACGTAAGTAGTCCAATTATAGGGGGAACTGAGGTTGTCAAACATATGTAGGGGTCGATTCCTAAAATACGAGGGTATCACTTTTGGAAAGACCCATTACTGAAGTCTATGTGTAACCCCGGGTGTGTAACTCAATGCGTGGCTAAACATTTTGTAGAAGTTCTATCATAATTTCAATTAAAAACCTTTTCAAATTTTTGTGTTTCTTTCTTTTACCACTTTTGAAATGGTTATACTGCATACAGTTGTTGCTTTTGCTGTCATTTACTGGATCGCCTATTAGTGTTAGTATAGCTAGCGATCGTCACCTACTATCCGCCTACCCTACCTTCACACTTACATGTACTACCACTTGTTCAAAGTCATATCTATCTATCATCAAAATATTTTGATTATCATGAATGAATGTCGAATGATCATAAACAAGATCAGACACACGTCAAGTCCTTAGTTTACACTTAAGAGTATTCAATATGATAACGATGAAACGGATGATTAAAGGGTAATTATTTGGAACACTTTTATAAGACAGTTGGCTATCGACCAATTAACCTTGTATTATTTTATAATTTATCATGATATAAGTTATAAATATAATGCCTTTAAATTGATATATTTTACTCTCATTGCTGTCGAGACAAAAGTTCCCTCGATATATGACACAGATATTACCAACAATATCAAAACATAATTATTCTCCATTTCTCGATTAGTATACTCGCTCATATTCTTAATTTTTACTTGTTAAAATATCATTTCGTAAAGCTGTTGCAGCAACAAATGTAAATGTTGATAACAATGTCAAATGTTGATAAAATGTTATAATGAGTTAATGAACCACAGTCTCATGCACAGGGTTCAGAAAATCGATCCCTCAAATCCAAATGGCCATGTTTTCTTAGAGCTATTTACAAGACTGTACAGTTTCCTCAAGTATTGAATCATCCTCATGGTAAAATATTTCCGCCACTTATTTACGACGGTTTTGCTCGTCTTGTTTTACCAGACGCCTTATCTTTTCACCCGAAACCCGTCTTCATAGGAAATCAAACAAACAAAAAACCGTATGTACATTTTATTTTGGCTTTAGAAGATTCTTGAGGTTAAAAATGTTGTGGTAAATATTTTCGGGATGGTTCATAGTTGAAGTTAGCATCTTGACCATACCATCTTCAACTTGGTGCCCCGGCTCCTTCTTCTTTATTTTGTTTTTTACATTGGAGCCTGTGTTGTATTGTATTCTATCTGACTGGTAACGAATCGTTGCTACTTGCCCTAGTTCTTCAGCTATTCGGATAACCTCAAAAGTTAGAAATAAGAATAGAGGCTAGGGCTTTAATATTTCCTTGCGTTTTTTCATAGAGATATACAACTATGGAAGGATGTTCTACGATATCAACCTCGAATAAACCAACAAATGTTTTTAAACAATATTCCCAAAATATTTCAAGAATGTGTCTAGTCACATGTCTGATGTGTAATCTAAATCAGCAACCAGAGAAAACAATTCTTGATTCTGATGTTTCATAAAATATATCAGCTGAAGGCAACAATTCACTTGGATTGAAGTGTCATTAAAAAACTTTTACGATTGTGACGTGCCAGAATCTGCATCTTGATTCACAAGGTTTCTGTTGCTGCAACTTCATGTGTTTAACACCTTGGAAGTTGCAGATGAGAATCAGAGATACATCAGGCTTAGATAAGCTAGCAAACTTCAGGCAGGCAAGAACAATAATGCTTTCTTGTGTAGATCCTAGTGTTATTCTGCCCTACATTATGTTCTTCTATTGAATAGAATCTTAGAATGAAGAAAAGAAAAACGTGGTTTGAAATTGGAGGTTTCATCTAATTCTTGATCCATCAAGGTATTACATATGACTGAAGGAATACACTGGTTTACAAATATGCACTGTTAAAACATACATTCAATTTGAGACGGTTATATATCATTAATCATAAACCCTACTAGCTAAGAATAGCAGCAGGCATTGACTTGAGCTGTCCATACTTTTTACAGAATTCCACAAGAAACTTCATTGTAAATAGAAGTGAACGTGACCCTCTAAGGTTGGATGCCATTGAATAATTGAAAACGTTTTGTGTTGGCGTTGGTATGTCTGACATTATTTAACCCCTCTTCAAAAAACATGTCGTTTTCTTCATCGTAAGAAACATAATCAGAAACCCTGGTGAAATTGTATCTTTTTGGTGGAAATCGTTCACTGATGTCACCTTGCCAAAGATGTTCTATTTAATATCAGAAAGTTAAAAATAGAAGCTTAAAGAATGTTTATTGTGAAAGCTCAACCATTCTAGCATTTCTGATTCTGCAGGACATTTTAACCTCTATACACTCTAGACAGTAAAAGCCTGTTGCTTTCATGTCGGCGTCAGCAATTGAATGTTCCATGGATCCGAGATCCGGGTATTTTTTGATGCATTCATTCAAAGCAATTAATCTAAAACAGCGCACAATCAGTGAACGCAGGTATAAAAGGGTAGGAGGTCCTATCAAATTATGGTTCTACTCTCCATTTATTTATATGGTGACCTAAATACAACTCTTTCCCTCATTATCTTATACACAATCAGGGCCAGTAAGGGCCTTTAAGAAAGGGGGCCATAATCCCCAGGGTACCATAATTTCTTTTACACCGGCACAAAAAGTGGAAGACCATAACAATATGTGTACAGTCTCAAGAACTGCATCTCAAAAACTGCCTCTCAAGAACTGAATCGAACTGGATCTCAAGAACTGTATTTCAAGAACTGCATCTTAAGACCTGCATCAACTCAACGCGATCCTCAAATGACTTAAACAAAAGTGCTCTAACATAGATTCTTTTCGATTCGAAATACCATGTCTAGACTGTTGTGAATACATAAAATCAGAATCTAAATATGATTTTACCTTCAAATTCTTTTGTGATTTTCTTAAGTACCAAATATTTATATTGATAAGTACTGAATGATATATTAATGTCGATAACATGTTTTAAGTCATTTGTAAAAAACTTCAAATCGATTATTTGTTATAGAAAACATTTTCGTTTTGATGTATTGTATGAGGCTATACGCAGACCATTGAGAAAACACAAAGTAACACGTCCTTACACTTGCTCAAAACATATAAATGACTATATATGAGAAAGACATTTGATTTCCAGAGTAAACTGGAAACGACTTTCAACCAGGTCGGACTATCGGAAGCAGAATTTAGTCAGAATTAATTTTTTTCTTGATTTAATCGTTTTTATCCTCCGAATTTCAACTAAATATTTGGCACGTATGTAGCCTAGTTCGTAGATTCCGGTTTTAAAATATGACTTCACCCTAGAAATGTGTAGCGTTATTGTTTGGACAATTACAAATCAATTCTCTCGCTTATGAAACGAAGACAGTTTCCCAGAGAAACGAAAACTTTGCTTCCGAAAGTCCGGCCATGTTGAAACGAAGATAATTGTCTTCGTTTCCAGTTAATCCCAGTGATAATGTAGAAAGAATGACTCGCAACGTGCAGTGACCACGTCAGGCAATGGTAAATTACTATCGTTAGGGATTCAAATAATAACAAAACATAATCATGTAAAACTACCCCTTTCTCTAACAGAAGTCTGGTCTAGCACACACCTTCATGCTTCCCATTTAATTTAATCCTTTATTTGAAAGATCACGAAAACAGTGCAGTCCTCCACCCCTCTATAGATTTGGAAATTAGAGTTTCCAAACTTACAAAGGGAAAATAGAAGATGTCTTTATCGTCAGGTGTGAGTCAAAACCACTGTCCTTGAACATTGTCTGTAGATTTCATATCATAAAAAAAGTTCTGATTCTACAAACAAAAATCTTAACCCATCACCCCATCGCACCTGTTTTATGCTGATGTTTTTGAATACGGATATTCTAAGCATCTTGGTTGTCAGTACTACAAATTACAATAACTTTGAACGTAGCCACCTTACCATCCTATATCATTTTTTACATAATATCATTGTTCAACAATCTTACCCTAGTATATCAATATAGGCTATGAACATTGCTTGATGATAACAAGCATGTAAAATAAC